GATCCCTGAAACATCGATATTCGGATTCTAGAGCTCGATACCTTTCCAACGACCCCCTAACCGTCAAAATTGATCAATTCGTTCGAAAAATTCAGCATTTTAAAAATTTCTTATGATTTTCCAATAAAAAATATTTGGTATATCTGTCTGTGCGCAATTTTGCGTAGTTGTTGTGAATATAAACTTAATATACATTTGTAAATTCGGAACGTTGCTTCATTGCATCAGTATGAACTCAAAGTAAAAAGAAGAGAATTTCTGCAACATTTCGAATATACAAATGTATATTAATGTTATATTCACATTACACAGAAAATATATCTACCAACTATTTTCGTCAGGAAATTGATATCAGAAATTTTGTGTTTCAAATTTTGGTTTCGTCACTCGTTCTTCACCTCGATAGAGGTTTTTTATTTGATTATGTACAACAATTATCATGAATATGTACCGACAATTTTCTTTCGAAATTTTGCTTTAAAAAACGCGAAATCTTTACCCGAAATTCATATATCACCAAAGAGTATCTCATTAAAATGTACAATATCTGTGCAATCAAACATCAGATTTCCAAAAAGTCCAATAATATATTTTTATGTGGACACCATGCGGTGCAAAATAATAGTCATTTTATACTTAAATGCAGACTATTACGTGTAAATGCAATCCAAAAATGCAAAAGATTGGCGTATTCGATTGTACTGATTGACAAAGATATTTCGCAAAAATAAAGCTTTTGAGTTTGAACCACGTGCGGAATGTTGAGAAAAGAGAAAAAAATTTGTTTGATATAGATCTATTGGCGCTATTCTATAATGCTGAAAGAAAACATGAATCGAAATTTAAAATAAACATATGAAAAACCGAATGGGAAAAATTCGTTGCACATTATTGATGAAAAGAATCTTTCTCATGTCACAGCAATTTGTGATTTTAAATTATTAAATGGGATTGAAATTAATAAGATTTCGCAATTGCAAACAGACATTTACAGTCGAACGTGCAAAAAAGAGACTTTTTTATAATTATCATCGAGCATTTTTTTTTGTTTGTTTTTTTTTTATGCGAATGTTGGTTCGTTTGGTATCTCATTTTTGTATGTGAATTTATTTGTTTGGGTGTAATAACAAAGTGTCTCTCGAATTGGCAATAACGGACTCTTTGTTTGCCATCACGATACACAGTCACATTTTCTGTAAAACTGAATCGGTTTATGTGCTTTTATTTGTTTTGAAGTGGAGCGCGATGGTTTTTGGGGTTTAGTAGATTTGTCTGGAGTCTGTCTTATTTAATACTTTTCTGTCACATTCGGTGAGAGTGAGTGGTTTGTGCATCTGCATTTGATGTTTTTGCTAACAATAACTGAATTTTACAAGGTCGACGGCGTATGTTCTATATATACACCATTTTTTTTGTATCGGTATATTGTCAAGCTACAGTGTTTCTGTTTCCCCTTGTACAGATGAAGAAATTTTGTGTGCGGTTTACATGTGGCCATTAAATTGCTGCTGACTTTGTTTATATTTACATTGGATCATAATCGTTTTGTAAAGAAGCCACAATGGCAAAAACATTGTGCATCTCGCTAATCTGAGAGCGACGGGCAAAAAGCAACCGAGACACAGATTGTAGGTTTTTTGGCTGAAACATAAAGCCACGAAAGCTTAAACAATAAATGGTAAACGACAGTGAACAACAACAACAACAACAATGAGAAAATAATTTGCTCGTATTTCGACTATCTGCAAATGATTGCAATTACACTTCGTTTCTTAGTTCGAATAGAGTGCAAATAGTGAGAAAAAAAATTGGTGTTTGCAAAACTTTTCATCTCAATATGTTTTTTTTTTGTTGTGTTCTCTCAGCCATAGCACCAAATTGTTCAACAGTTCTACCTATCGGCACGAAATGCATTAAATGATATGTGAGAGATATATCGAAAAAGGAGTTATACATATCTGCACAGAAAAAATATTTCACATTTATATCAGAAAACTTTTTTTATAACATAAGGTTAAAATACGGTATCAGAGATTCCAACTAATACGACAAAAGTTCGATTTTTTGTGCCGCATCGCTCTCCGTTTGAGTTTGGACCGTGAACATTTTTTTGCCTTTCGCTGTGGACATTTTTCTCGAATTCATTTTGGAAAAATGAATGAAGAAACGAGACAGCAATTGTTATTCGAACCAAGAGAATCTCAAGTCTCCATCTCCATATATAGCAATGAATTTCGATCATTTTCAAATGTATATTTGGCTTGATATTTTTTTTGCTGACCATTGTTAGGGCTAACATTAAACATTTCAAGCACATTTTTGTGTGAAATCAACAAACCTAGCATTCAAGTGAGAAAAGGGAAGATAAAATGATTAAAACCCATATGTGTTGAATGGACCAAACCCCATACAGATACATTACTTTGTTTGGTTGAAAGCAGGACACACAAACACACATAAAAAGGAAATGAAGGAAAGCGAAAGCAATGAGACCTTAAATATCACAAATGTCACATCCTGATCAAGTTGAGTATGAACTTATTTCATTTCTAATAAACTATATCTTCTGTAAGCAGAATGACACGAAGAAAATTTTCGGCATTTCTTCATGTTATGTGTGTTTGTATGTGCACTATGTGCTTAACATTTGCTCTGAATCTGAACTTACTAATAAACTTTTTCACATGTTGTGTTTTACACCAAAAATGCGCCCAAATCGAATTCACAACGTTATGAATGATAAACAAATTCACAGTCAGACTGAGTCAGACACAACACAGCATCAACAACAAGAACATCGACGGTAACGACGGATGATGACTTTTGTGGATGAGCTGCAATTTCTTGAAGCAAACGATATAGAAAAAAGAAATATTATAAAAATGTATCAACAACTGTCGTAAATTTTCTCGGTTCGTAAAATTGAGTGATTGCTTGAATTTTTTTTAATGTAATAAGAGGGCAAAACATCAAAAATTCGTCGTACAACGAATCACATGTATATACAAAGCCGAAACGTGTACGTCCATTAATTCAGCACACATAATCCGAAATAGAGATAGAGAATGAGAATAAGAAGTTAGAACGATTGTGTTGACATTTGGGTATTATGTATATGCGTGTGCATTTGTGATGCGAGTTGATTTTCTGTTTTATTTCATTCTCATTGTTTGTTGTTTATCATATTCATGTTGGTGTAATAAGCTCATTGAATGTAAAACAAACGTGAAATGACGCCAAACTCTCGTCCTCGCACCCATCAAGAATTCATTCAAACCAAAGGTTGTCATAGTAAACACAATATTACTATTATTAAATATATGTGGCATGTCGGTTCGAGTTCAGTAAACTGAACATCATTATCATAGCATCTGTGTCTGTCACATCTGCACTGAAAAAAAAAAGCTGCACAAACAGCTGAACCATATTATAATTTAGTGTATTGGACAAATCGTTGACATCTAAGCTTTGCGATCGCATAACCAATCAACTCAATCATTATTAAGAAATTCATAAGCGGAAGTTTCTCTTTCGATCTACCTCTCATTCAATAAAGTGGAATATATATGGAGATTTTACAACTTAAATTGGAAAATGCAAAAACTTTTATCAAAAGCAATCAATTTTAATTTTATCAAATGTTTATTGACCGCAACGATGACTATTTGCAGATGCATAAATATTTATGCATTGCATATTTCAGCGATTGCGATTTTAAGTTTCAGTTTGTTGGATAAATTTTCAACGAAGTAAACAAAGATCCGACGAGTTTGTTTTTGGCCATATTTTCATTTAAATTAGTTCAAAAATATGCATATGTATATCCACTTGTGTGGAAATGAAATGACATATAAAAAAAAAACAAACTAAACCATGTTAAATTGAAGTTTCCACAATATGCGGACGATTTTTATGTGCCATTCGATGTGTAGAACCATAAAATTGCGACTGTTGTTTCAGATGAATTATCAATTGAGTTTGATTTCTATGCTGGATAACGTTTTTGGCAAAAGAATCGAGTAAATCAAGCGCATGCGTTTTCATCACGCTTTACTCTCTGTTTACATGATTTTCCTCTGTTTGGTTTGCTTATACACGCTTCTCCTCCACATTGTTTGTCGGTATCGACAGTCGAAAGAGAGAACGAACGAAAAACGAATGTAACAAAGCATATTGCCTTATTTCGAGAAGAAGCATTCTTTCTCCATGTACTTTTACTGGCGCGAATTTCATTCTCTGTATTCTATCTCTCATTTTTTCGTTCATAAATATGCTTGTGCATGCTCTCTCGCTTCGTCAGTCTCGCATCCAACAATTCGCACACACCGAATCCGTACATGATTTCCTACCAAAACTATGCAAACACTGACAATTGAACGTACAATGAACAAAATCTACACATGGTTACATGAGAGACAGTGTATTCACAACCGTCCAATATCTTTCTCGGTATACCTTTTGTCGTAATTGTTTGTCACATCATTTCTGCTATTAACTTTAGCGCGCTAGCCAACATTTGGATCAGTATGATTTCGAATAGCATCGAGTCAACATACATACAGCACAACGGCACAGCGCTCACCAATAAATTCACTCTCAACGAATCGACGACGACGATAACGCCGACAAAAATTCAAACATTTTTCAAAACATCCAACACGATTTTAACAGACAAAACTGCACCGTACGATTTTGATTTCGTTCATTATTATTAGTGATTCTGATCAACGTTTTTCGACTTTTCTTTTTTCCATTCGATTTGTTCAGTTCGTGTTGATTTAAAACGAAAAAAAAAATACCACCAAACAAGTGAGAGGACATAGAATTTAAATAAATAAAAATAAATGTTTGCCATATCTTAACTGTTTCGTTTGATAAAAATTCATACTTATCTAATAATAATGTTTTAGTTGAGATAAAAATTGAATTCAGGAGACAGATAAAGTAAAAAAATAATAATAATAACGTTTCGTTTGACAATTCTTGGCAACAATGCGCAATTGAAATAATAAATTTCAATGAAATAAATCATATCTGATGTTTTCGAATAACTATTGATTTTTAAATCGACAATTGAGAAACGAAAATTGTTATTTCTCGGACGAAAAATAGACACGACCTTATATTTTACGATCATATGATTGATCCTCTCCATAGAAAAATATTGATGTGTTTTACAATAAATTTTCGAACATAATGTGCCGTTGTTAGTTTCAACAATATTCTGTTATCAAAATTGCAGATAATTTGATGTGATTCGGTAAGTTGAGCTTCATCTTGTACGTTTTTTTTCTCCCTATCTTTGTATTAATTCACATATGGAAGAAAAAGAAAGAAGATTTTTTACCACTTTCTTTTTGATAAACTTTAATTAACAAAGAAATTTTATTTCAACGAAAACTTTTTTAATTTTGATTTTCGAAAAATATTGCACACGCACATGAAACAAGTAGTTAATCTTAAAAGTTAGTGCATGTATGAAGATAATTAATGTTTGACAAAAGTTGAAAATAAGTATAAAAACCAACAATTTAAAATACGCACAAAAAGGCATTTTCAAGAGAAGGAAGAAAATAAAGAAACATCTCCAACAAGATAATAACTGTTATTCACATTTTGAGCTTTTTAGTTGCCATCTGTATCTGTCTGATAATAATGTAAGCGATAAATACGTGTGCGGTTAAAATAGGCGTTTTGTATGCGGTTTCCTTTACACCTCATTTTCTTCATTAGTTTACCTGAATCTTAAGTATGACAACAACAAGGGCGAAAAGACGAATTAGATATATAAAATCACTTGAATGGAATTTGCGTTTGTTATTTTAAATAATACGTGGAAAATACCGCGAAATGGCAAGCGGCCAATATGTCTATTAGCCCATTCTCGAAATTAGTTTAAGTGATTTTGTCGAGTTTTTCGTCGCATAATTCCGATTCGATCGGCATAATGAAATTCACGATTATTGTTTCTCTGTATTGCTGTGAAAGCATTTGCGATGCGATATGTGTGAAAATTCGTGTGCAATTTATGGGTTTTACGAAACCAAAGACAACAACTATATAGTAATTTTTTTTATGTGGAAAATCCCCGATTATTTATATTTGAAATGTTTATCGGTCGTTGTGAAATGTAGTAAGTGCAAATTAAAGAACCACCATTTGTTATTCGTCATTCACTTCAGAACGCTTTTAACGTGGATCTGATATAGTTAGTACTCAGATTATCACGTTGTATATATGTTTTTTTTTCTTATCGCATTCCATTACCGACAAACATTTTTTATTTCACTTTTGCCGCCTCGTCAGCCTGCCACCAAAAACATTTGCCAAGGTGAAATGATTCAACGATAAAAAAATCATTATTTCGAATTCAATTAATATAGTAGTGAATAAAAGGCACAAAAAGGATCTTTTTCAAATATTTTTCTTTTCTATTTACTCAAGCGATTACATTTATAATTAATGATAAATTGAATAAACAAAAATATGCAAATATTCAAATTGGTTGTAGTGGAATCGCTAGACTCTCAGTTTGTATCCGTTTTTTTTTTAATTTTGTTCAAGTCCAGTCTATTTATTACACAAGATGTTATGCGCGGATGCATTTATATCAAAAATTATCGAATGATGCAGATAGAAGATATAACAGTTAATATTTTCGGTGTTTTTGATGAAATGTCGCTCTCTTCATTCATGAGCTTTCATTTTGGCCCTGTTGTTAATCATTCATTCGCTTTTCTTCAAAATAAACATTTTAGCTCTCCCTTAAGATAGATTCATTTTCTATTATAGATGAAGAGTATCTGTCGGTAGAAAAAAAAGACACAAACAGACGACTCTTCGGCGAAATTGTGTAGCAATGACCAAAAATAGTTCAAAATTTACACGCGTAGATCACAATGTTGTTATGTACTAAGCTTGTGATCAAATCTCATTAGCAACCATTCGATTGAAATATAAAGAAGTACTTGTCGTCAAGGACAAACAAAGAGATTATCACGTTCTTAATAAGTGTGCAACAAATACACTTTGTTTTACGGCAATCAAGTAGGCGATTGCCAGGAATTTTATCAAAGGGAGCTTACTTCAAACTGAGAGGAGCATTAATTCATGATTCACCAGAAAAATATTATCACTACATTGGATTTCAAATGTATTGTTTCGGGCCATGGCCATACCTACGGCATGGTATCAGGCATGGATAATCTTCACAACGTCCAAATGCAGTTTGCCTGATATTTCCACATTGTTGTTAATTTTTGTAAATTTCTACAAAATATGTATCTGAACCATCTGAATAGTTGTTATTGACGTTTAATAAAAGATAAAATACATGGTTTTTGTTTGTTTGCGATATGATATTGCCTATGGGCCATAAGTAATAAAATTGTATTTATTCAATGAAATGCTGTTCATTAACCTCTTCTTAATATCCATATCAGTTAAAAAAATCTTTCAAAATAATTTTCAACTCATTACGACGGTAATAAATGTTTGATCGCTTTTCTAGTGCCTTCCTCAAATGGAAATGGGTTCAAAAATGTTAATAAGTATGCCAAAGGATCTTCACCCCACTAAACAATAAATCTGGGGGACGGACACAAAATCTAGTAAAATCTAGTTTCATAGTTTACTAATTTTGCTAATATTTTTCTAATATTAATAAAAAAATCTACTATTATAACTATACAGACATACTAATATTGCTAATATTAGTTCACTAGTATAAACGTCAAACGTCAAATAGTTGATCTCAAAGTGAAATCATGTATGAATTTTTCATAAATTCTTAGATGAACATTTAACATTTTTTTTTTTTTTTCCTGGTTTAGAAAAAATAAAATTTATTTCTATTGAATACAAAAACACTTAAAGTAACAAAAAAAGTTTTCGGTGAGCAAAGTGCGCAATTCTCTAACAAGCAATGGTGAAGCAAAACAAACTAATTTTTGCTAATATTTTTCTAATATTCCGCTAATATTCTAATATTTATAATGGTGTCCGTCCCCTAGCAATAAATTGATATAAAACATTCAGACTCTGGATTTCGGCATCATCGTCACTAAATATGGGTGGGGAGGTGGCGATATAAATTTTAATCAAATCTTTGAAGTGATGTGAAAGTTGTGGGTGAAACTGAATGTGCGTGTACATATGAAACGATGAAATTCATTGCTGCCACCCATAAAATACATGAACGATGATAAAATTCGGACAAAGCAAGTCCGGTAAGCATATAAATCATTCAATAACCTTAATAAAAAATAATCGACTAACGATTTTGTTTCGGATGTCATTTGCTGTTTTCTTCTTAAATAAAATCATTGAGCCACTGATTTGACAGGCTCGTTTGCAAAATCTATTATTTGAAGTGTAAGAGGTGAGCTCATGGGTGTGCATGAATAAACCGAAACGGGTCAAACGATTGCATGGAAAGTGAGTCCAGCAAACATAACAATTTTCGTCATCGCTTTTACGTGGGCATAAGATAAAGTGACGATCTTTGTTCGGTGTAACGCATAAAATGTCAAGTGAATAAAAGAAAATAACGCACACCCCGAACGACCAGAAAACGACTGAACAATAGCAATAAATTGATGCGCGCCACACAAATGGCGTAACGCTAGTTGCTACATAGAAAATTTCTTTTTAATTTTCTATTTATTATTATTTTTTATTATGAGTATGGTGTGGTGTGTAAACACAAAGCAACAAAATACAATGCACACAAAATACAACGAATTAAATTTATATGTTCCTTTTTCTTTTCATCAAACGACGGATTTTAGTTTGAAATATTTTATTTGGAGATGGTTGATGTTTGTTTTGTATTTGTATATGTAATGTTCTGTGTAAATAACGAAAAAGAAGATGAAGAAGAGAAAAGAATTGGCAACATTTCACATTTGAATTATTGCAACAAATAATCGAATGCGCGATTCATAAACGCACATTATAGGCGGAGGAGAATGTGAGACATTTGTTCGTTGTTAATTTTCTTCGCCGGTTTCATTTTTTTTTTTGTTGTTCTGCTGTGATTCTGAAAATTTATTGTTTTTACTGAGTTTCTTTTTTGGGAAATGTGTGTATACCATTTTTGGTGTATTTATTTATAAGTCCTTTGTCTCAACTGCCACAAATTTAATCGCATTGTTTGCATTTAATTTTTGTATGGTATCCCACTCTTTTTTCCCACAATAGGGCAAACTTATGCTATATACACGCAAAACATGCACACCACAAAAGTCCACAATCTATCTAAACGATATAGATATTGTGAATGAAAGGCACAAAATCTTGATGCTCGCCTTGGTTTGTGTTGGTCTGTGTCAATGGGAGGAAATGACAGCAAATTTTAAAATTGGCGCGCTGTTTAGTTTCGATTTGAGTTGTTAAATTACATTGACGTCCGCTTTGAAATTCGGGGCGCCACCGTCGGCTCAAAGAGACTTGAAGTCTTCACATCCTCTCATTGGTTTGTGTACAACAATGAAATGAGAAAGAATTTTGCTGGGGTTTTCGGTATATTTATACGCCTAAGAACCGTATCCGTTCTTGTTGTGTTTCAAAGTCGTCAATACGTACATCGTTTTCCCCTTTCTCTCTCTCTCTCTCGCTCTCTTCTTTTTATGTTGTTCTAAACTTTTCACGTTCTTTTACTTATTTATTTTATTTTATTTATTTATTAATACGTAATGCTATGTAGCCAAGTATTAACTACTCAATGTCTAGATGCTTGAACCCGTCGAATCCTCGACTTTTGTGTTTGTGCGTGTGTGTGTGTGTGTGTATGTTTGTAATTATGCCTTTTGGCTTTGGTTGTTGTCCGTAACAAAAATTTCATTTTTCCCAGCTTTCAGTCCTCTTAATTACATTTATTTATTCTTTATCCTTTGTTCGCATGTGCTGCTCCGTTCATTTTTATTGCAGCTTGTTTGGTTTGTTTATCCATCGTCGGTCAATTCATCCAAAATGATAAAGTGAATGCGCTTTCTTTGCACACGCTCACCATATTTTCTCCTCGCTACGATTCATTCATTTACTAACAATTTATGCGATGCAGTTGTTGTTTACTTTTGAATTTGCTCAAAATACAAATACATTCCATTCGTAATGCATGGGGGGTCAATAACAGCCGTACGTACACCATCACCACCAATAATGTTTTGATACAAGAAATATACATCTGTACAACGACACGTGACTGTTATTTATATCTATTAAATAAGACTTTCATTGTGAGTTGTGTATGAACTCAAG